AAAATTTACAACTTGAAGCAAATCAAAATAATTGAAAATAAATTTAGAAAAATCCCCAGCATATAATTTTATTGTTCATATTTCTAACTATTTATGGAATTTAAAACCTAGTAATTTATTCTAATGGTTATTGTAACAACTTCTTTTAGCAATTGAACAAAAACTCTCTATGCGTATTTTCCAATTATATGGTTTTAAAGAATAATCACTTGTATTTTTCTAAGTAGAACTATTAAAACGTTGATTACTAATGCACATATAAATCTAATAGAATTAAATACATCAATTTTAAGGACAATATTCATGTATGAAAAATATGTGGAATACTTAATATCTGTATAGTAAACCCAAAATCGTATATTAAAATTGCACTTATCAACTTTCTTAACAAGGAACCAACTTTAATTTGTATAATTAATAATAAGGAATATAAACTGTAATATAATATAACAAAATATTGAACACTAAATAATAAATATGAAATTGAAATGAATTTTTTAGAATTTATAAAAAAGTAAATTTTCTACTGATCCAATTAATATTACCAATTTAATTAATATACATTATATATGATGAATTCAAATTTTATTATTAATTATTTATATATTGATAAATCATTTTTCAAATTTACCATATATTAAATTAGTTACGCAAAAATACATAAACTATTTCATAAATATATTATTACAGTCAAAGTACATTAAAAATATAATTAAATAAAAGAAATAAATTATTTTTTAAAACTTAAAAACGAAATAAATTTTTTTTAATCAAAATATTTAATTAATTAAAAAAATAATCATTTCATAACATTCACGAAAAAAATTTTATAAGAAATTTATAAGAATATACAAATTTATTTCAAGAAATTCACACATTAAAATATAATACATTTTTAACTCTATCTATCTTCTATCAAAATAATTTAGAAAATATCTTTTTAAAAAAGTTGCATATAATATCTATAAATAAATATTTTTGAATAAATAAATATATCTGAATGTTAATGCAATTAAGCTATAAATTTTGTTCTAAACTTCTATTTTTATAAGAGGATAATTAATATCACTTTTAAATTGATTAAATTTGTTCTTTTTAATTTTAAACTGACAAAACTAATAACTTTGATTTAATTTTAATTTATAAAAATGATGACTTATATTACAAATTATAAAAATTTTTTTCTACTTGAATTTAAAAATTAAATTTTTAATTTTAAGCTGACAGTTATATTAATTTTATTATTATTTTAAATTCTGTTTCTATATTACGATAATTATTAACACTGTTAAAATGTTTAAAGCTATTAATTTTAATTTTAAGCTGATTTTTGAATTTAAAATTTTTTTTTTTTAAACATTAAATAAATATTAAATATTAATTCATTTTATTTTATTCATTTATTTTATTTTATTTTGTATTTTTTTAAACTCTCTATCAACGTCAGGATAATTAATAACAGCTTTAAAATATTCAAAGTGATTTTTAATTAATTAATTAAAAAAACTAATTTGAATTTATATATAATTTAAAATAAAATATAGTTTTAGTGATTTCTATTTCTGTACTAATACAATTACTAACATATTCAAACTTTTTAATTTAATTAATTTTCGTTTTAAAATGACAAACTTTATCATTTCAATTTGGTTTCAAATTAAAAATTTTGAATAACATTTTCATTTAATTTTTTAACATAAAAAATGCT